TGTAAAACTGAAAAATGCTGTTTTAAAACACTCCTGATAAAACCTAAACCTCACCTTAAATAAATCTCATGCAGTATCTTCTTCACTTCATGGTGCTGCACCAAACCTGATGTGCTCATTACTGCCTCCCAGAAAACACTCACTGATGCTGGACTGGTTTTAAGATCTGCAAAATATTTTCCATCAACGGCCACAAGGGGCAACAAAGAGCTCATTCCACACACAAAACACACTTCCTGTGAATAGTGCAATCCTTCTATACAGATGTAAGACAAAAAACATCCAAGTCTTTAAACGGTTTAATGTTTGTAAAGTTTAATTCATTCTAACATTGTTAACATGTACAAACAAGTTATAAGATGACAACCTCAGCAATGAATTCAAAGATGGAAGCAGTTAACAACAGGATTGTCCTTCAGTTTCTTCTGGAACAAGAAATAGTTTGTATCACTTTACAGTTGTTATGCATCATCATTATTTTTGTTGTTTTACATGAGCAGCGCTAACAGAGAAACGCTCAGTTATCAGGTGCTCTGGTACGTTCAGTTCCAACATATTTCTGGATAGATTCTAATCATCCTTGTCAGATCAATTCTCTGGTTTAAAAATGAATTAAATACATGTTAGGTTCATGTGAATCATGAAGACTTCCAGTCGCTAGACCTTTTTGAGGTAGAAGCAGGTTGCTGTGTGCTTCTTGGTAGTTTCTAGGGTGTTGTCTGTGGTACAACGACTAGTGATATGATTGAAGATGTGTTAGAGACTCGAGTGATAAATAGGTGATTATAATTTCATATGATAGACTTGTTGTTATGGTAAGAGGAAGTGGAACATAAACACATGAAGGCAGGAAACAAGGGAAGAAATGTAGATTATAGGGAAATGTGAAGAGGGAAAGAAGTAATGAATGAAGAAATGGAAGAAGGAATGACAAAGGAAGGAAGTGGTTCTGACATCTGTGATGAATACATACCCAGATAAACAACGTCTCCACAGTCCAGGTTCACTTAAACACAAAAGCTTGATCATGGCCAGGTGGAAACATTTGTCTGTACCTTTGATCCATGACTGAGGATGCAGTTAAAACTGTTGTGGAACCTGTAAATGACTACTTAAATGGAGAGAAGGAGAGCTACACGAAAAGTCACTCAGTGTCTGGTTTCACCTCTTTGATGGTCCAACCTCTACTGATCTCCTAGTCTACAGTCTGCAGTGTGCACTCTCAGACACCAATTTTATTCCTGAGTCCTGCAGCTATTTTTTTTTTTTTTTTTTTACACAGGTCCAGGTGTTTCAGATGGGAGGAGTTGGTTTTCAGGGTTAGGGTAACCATCATTAATTTTCACATTCTGCTCTGAGGAAAAAGAGATTCTGTACCTCAGTCTACAGTCTGGACTCTCCAGAAAACCACACAGATCCTTCACTCCTGAATCCTGCAGCTTGTTAAGACTCAGGTCCAGGTGTCTCAAAGGGGAGGGGTCCGACTTTAGAGCTGAGGCCAGAGAAGAACAGCTGATCTCTGTGAGCAGACAACATCTTAACCTGCTAAGAGGAGAGCATTTTCACAAACTGTATTGCTGTCAGATCCCAAACTTAAACAAACATATCATCTACGTCAGAGTCTCCAGTCCACGGTTTGGACTCTGCAATCCAGCAGACAGCATCCTCACTCCCAAGTCCTGCAGCTTGTTGTAGCTCAGGTCCAGCTACAACAAGGGTTGGAGCTGAGAGCTGAGGCCAGAGGTGAACAGCAGCTCTCTGGTAGTTCACAGTGATGAAGTCTGTAATTACAGGATGAACAGTCAGTTTCACTGAGGGCTCCATGTAATTCTGTCACATCTAAAATCAGTGGGATCGTTTTTGTCCATTACATCAGATGAATTTCATTTTACAAATGATTTGTTGAATTCCTGCTGTAGTCTGAACGTTTAACTTCTCCAGCTAGTCACATTTTTTGTAACTAAACTGACCTCAGAGTCTCCAGTCTACAGTCTGGACTCTCCAGTCCACCACATAGGATCCTTCACTCCTGAGTCCTGCAGGTTGTTGTGACTCAGGTCCAGTTCTCTCAGATGGTAGGGGCTGGACTTCAGAACTGAGGTCAGAGAAGAACAGCTGATCTCTGACAAACTGCAGGAACTCAATCTGAATAAAGAATTAAACATTTAACAAAATCAGACTCTCAGTCCAGCTGCAGATAAACTGGTTTGATGTTAGATCGGTCTGTGGTTTTAGTTTGACTTCTGCCAAGTTAGAATGTCTCACGAACATAAAGTCTGACTTATTCTAAACCTCTCAAGAGTCACATCACAACAACGCTACAGCTACAACAACACTACAGCTACAACTACAGCTAGAACGATTCTACAACTACAACTACATCAACACTACAGCTACAACTACAGCTACATCAACAATACAGCTACAACTACAGCTAGAACAATGCTACAGATACAACTACAGCTACATCAATGCTACAACTACAGCTACAGCTACACCTACAACTACAACGCTACAACTACAGGTACATATACAGCTACTACTACAACTACAGCTACAGCTACAACATCAGCTACAGCTACAACATCAGCTACAGCTACAACAACGCTACAACTATGTCCGGACATTTGGATTCAGTCTTGGTGTAAACCAGCATCATATTTCCCTCTTTAAATTTTAATTACTTGATACATATCATCAAAGAGCTAGTTAGGTGATGTCTGACTTCAGAGTCTCCAGACTATAGTCTGGACTCTCCAGTCCACCACACAGATCCTTCACTCCTGAATCCTGCAGCTTGCTTCCCCTCAGGTCGAGCTCTCTCAGATGGGAGGGGTTGGACCTCAGAGCTGAGGCCATGACTTTGAAGTGAGTCCTTGAGAGCAAACATTCACAAAGCCTGGTAGTACAGAATTAATGTAAAGTCAGTGATTTAAAAACATAATAATTGCTAACTACGACACAAAATGCAGACCGACCAGCTGATTTAAACAGCAGCTCTGGAGTGAATGATCCCAGGTTACCTGCAGACACAGGTGAGTCTCCTCCCCCTCTGATATCAGTCATATCATTGATTAACCTGAGTGAGTGTGAGGTGGCAGATCAGATCAGATCAAATTAGCCCTGACCTCAGTGTTTCACTCCAGCCGAATCAGCTGTCAGTTTCTATTTTGGTCAGCAGGTGGTGCTGCTGAGACTGACAACATTCAACACAACCTCTTTATCTAACACAAAACTTATATGACTTTGTTTTTTTCACTTTCTGCAGTGGCGCCTTTCAGAATAAAACTATTTTTTCTCATCAGAACTTTTTCTTCTTTGTTCATACAGAGCTGCAGCTCACGACAAACACGCCAAAATGAGAGTCAAACGATGGAAGCTGCAAAGACGTCTTCTCATCAGCATATATATTATATCTTATTCTGAAGTTCCCTCCAGCTCTGAATGTTTCCATGTGACAGACACTGATCATACACAGTTTATATGTAATTGATATGTTTGTTTATATATTTATAAGTTCGTCTTGTGTTTGTTTGAGTCGCAGCTTCAGTATCAGGAAGTTATAGAGTGAAGCTGCAGTTGTGTCTCAGTTATTATTAGACTGAAATTAGAAGGTGCTACATTCACCTCCTCTGGACGTGTAACTCTACACTCTCTCTCACACACACGCACACACCCCAGGTCCAGTATCACAGAGCTGTTGTGGTCTGTAGGATGTGGTCCTGAACTGCATTAACCTGTCTGTCTGCTGATGACACGCGTTTATATTTCTCTAAAGAGAAAGTGTCTCTGCAGGGGCAGAGGATGGTGGTGGTGGTGGTGGGGGGGTGTGATAGGACGGTTGCCTGTTCACATCAGTCACTAAATACACCTGAGACTGAACAGAGAAAACACTGAAACAGACGTCTGCTCCTCACTGTCCACAGGCAGGAATAAGTGTTGTGTCCAGGTGTTGAAGCAGCTGTTGTCAGTCTGAAACCAGCTGATCGTGTCCTCCCATCCTCAGGACTTTGGACTCTGAGATGAACTGGACCAGTCTGAACTTGTGGACTTTGTACTGAGAGACACTCGTCTGATTTTGACCTGAGGTCTTCAGGTCTGAGGTCTGGACTCAGACTCTCTGCATGTTTTACCCCAGTGTAGAGGATCAGGGAGGTAGATTCAGACTGTGGGTTAGACTGACTGACAGCAGCAGGTGTGTGTGTGTGTGTGTGTGTGTGTGTGTGTGTGTGTGTGTGTGTGTGTGTGTGTGTGTGTTTGTGTGTGTCTGTGTCTGTGTCTGTCGGTGCTCGCCCTTAGAGTTTCTTCTTCTCTGTCTGAACAGTCCATCAGACAGTCTGTTAGAATCACAGTGAGCTGATCAATTACCTGATCGATCACTCAGTCAGCTGATTAGTCAGCTGATCGATCAGCTGATCAGGTGACTCCTGGTTTACACCTGAACTGAACTTCAACCTTCAGGACTGGACATGTCTCTATGTCTCTTAGAGGACAGATGATTTGTTAGGTGAGAGTCTGTCTGTTTGTTTGTTTGTTTGTTTGTTTGTATGCAGGTTTAAGGAGGCAGGAAACTGTCCAGACTTTGAACATGTTTGAGTTAAATGGTTTTGATCTTTTTGAGGAAACACACTGTTGTCTACTCGACAGCTGGAGACCTGAGATGAACAGCTGAAGAAACTGAGTCTGGTTCTAACCTGCTGAGCTGAGTCAGAGTCCTGGTCCCGGAGTGGAGACACTGGAGTAACACCACGACAACATCTGGACGATGGAACAACATCTGGACAGACGACAGAAGAACATGGAGGAGTTGTGTCTACACAGTTCATTTATTTGGAGCCTGTGATATCTCTCTGGACAGTAGACCTCCACCTGGACTCTGGATTCTACCTGGATAGTAAAATCCAGCAGAAACCGGTCTGGACAGGACACTTTTGTCTCTGTCTCTGAGAACAGAAACAAGAGGTGTCTCCTGATTTGGAGAAAGACAAGAGAAGGGAGGGATGGGAGGAGCGGTGTGTAAGGAGGAGGCTAAGGAGGAGAAGAGGAGCGCGGGGAGGGAGGACAGTCTGACGTCAGCCGACAGAATCAGACGATTCACTGTCAAACAGTTTGGATACAACGTCCTGAGTCTGGCTCGCCGAGGACTGAAGGTAGGAGTCCTGAGACATGGTTCATGACAGTCACACACAAAGGGAGCTAACTGTCCCTTTAGTGACTGAGCTAGTGCTAGTGCTAGCATCTCCCCACAGGCAGGCTAGCTTGTTAGCAGTTAGCTGTACAGCTGTTTAGCTCTGTAAGACTCAGTACGTCACCAACACTCTGAAGCTTCTTGCTGCGCCCAGGCCTAAGCAGGAAGCAGCAGCAGCTCTCAATGTGACCTTACTGTGACCTCACTTCCTGCTCTCTTGCTCATTCATCTTCATTGCTGTTGTTCAGGATGTTCCAGATGAACTCTGGGAGCTGTTGGAGTTGGAGAAACTGAATCTGTCTCTCAACAGTCTGAAGGTCCTTCCTCCTCAGCTGTCCCTGCTCTCCAACCTGGTGGTCCTCAACCTGTGGGGCAACCAGGTAAACACCTGTCCTTCTGTAAACACTTGTGAATCTCTCCCTGGACTTCATCTTTATTCCAAAAGTTCTGTTTGTTTCAATGCAGTAGAGGGATGGATGGATGGATGGATGGATGGATGGATGGATGGAGAGGAAGACCAGGATTTCAGCATCCTGTCTGTGGTCTGGTTTCAGCAACAAAAGCTCTTTGGTGAAGGTCTACATTTCCCATAATGCAGTTAGTCAGGGTTATTCTGAAGGCTGAGAAGGACCTTCATGTGTACAATCAGTGGAATGACCCTTTAAATTCCTCGTCTTTACAGGCTAAGGTACAAGTCTGTCAGTGTGCCCCCCCCCCCCCCCCCCCCCCCCCCCCCCGCCCCAAGCAGCTGCTGTGTCTCCTGGATAAATAAAGGTTATAATCCCCCCTTCTAATCCACCAGGATCCAGTTTCTGTCCCCTGTCCTCTCTTCACCTTCCTCCCTCCTTCAACCTTCAGTTGACAAACAACAATAAAGAGCTGCCAGTACCCCCCACAGGCCGCTCTGCTCATCACAGCCTCAGTGTGTTCTTTTACAGAACATAATAACGAAACAAACTGACAAACATTTAAAACATCTGAAATATATATTTATATTATCGTTACAGCAGTGATTTTACTACAGTTTTATCATTTAGAAACTGTTCACTCCTCTCTCCTGCTGCTGAACTTGTTGTCTTATTGCTGGATTGTTGTTGTTCTGTTGTGTTATTATTGTTGTATTGTTGTGTTGGTTTTGTGTTGTTGTGGTGTTATTGATGTATCGTTGTCTCATCGTGTTTTTGCTGCTGTTGTACTGTTGTGTTGGTGTTGTGTTGTTACGTTATTGTTGTTGTATTGTTGTGTTGTGTCATTGTTGTCATATTGCTGTGGTGGTGGTGTTGTTGTGTTGGTGTGTTACTGTTGTGTTGTTGTCTTGTTGTGTTGTTATTGTTGTTCTATGTTGTGTTGTTGTTGCAGCTGAGCAGCCTGCCGGCAGAGATCGGGCATCTGAGGAGACTCAGAGTTTTATTTGCCTACAGAAACAGACTGACTGAAGTTCCTGAGGAGCTGGGAGCCTGTACACAACTGGAGGTACAAGTACTGCTCAAAGTACTTCTACTATGGTTCCTACTGCTCCTGCTGCTCCTACTGTTTGTTCCTACTGTCCTTCTGCTCTTATTGTTCCTTCTGTTCCTACTGCTCCTACTGTTCCTTCTGTTCATATTGCTCCTATTGTTTCTTCTGTTCCTACTGTTCCTTCTGCTCCTATTGTTCCTTCTGTTCCTACTGTTCCTACTGTTCCTTCTGTTCCTTCTATTTCTTCTGTTCCTCCCTCTAACAGGTCCTGAGTTTAGCCAACAACCAGCTGTCCTCACTGCCTGCTTCTCTGTCCAGTCTGACCAGACTGAGGAAACTAAACCTCAGCCACAACCACATTGCTCACATCCCGGGCTGCGTCTACAACATGAAGGCTCTGGTACGTTCACAGAGAACCTTAGTGAAGGTCAAGTATAGAACCAGGCTTCTCCACCAGGAGGTGACCAGGATCCTGTAACCATCCTGTAATCACCTCCCTTTCACCTGACTGTCATCTCCTCTGTCCCTGCAGGTGTTCCTCCACCTGGCCTGTAACCGTCTGGAGAACCTAGCAGAGAACATCCAGGCACTGGTGGAGCTCCAGATCCTCATCGTGGAGGGAAACAGCCTCCACTCGCTTCCCAAGGCTCTCTGCTGCCTCACCAGGTAACCTCACCTCACCAGGTAACCTCACTTAACCAGGTAACCTCACCTCAACAGGTAGCCTCACTTCATCAGGTAACCTCACCTCACCAGGTAACCTCACTTAACCAGGTAACCTCACCTCACCAGGTAACCTCAATTCATCAGATAACCTCACCACACCAGGTAACCTCACCTCACCAGGTAACCTC